TTTGGGAAGGCTTGTCAATTATGTATCATTGCCCTCACACTCGCTGGGTGCACCCCTGCCCTCGCCTTGACCCTGGCTCTTCCCTCAGCCTGGAAAGTAATGGTCTGGCTCTCTGACCCAGTCCTGCTCTGGGCAGCCAACTGCACTGTCCCTCCCCGGGCCTCCCTGCCCCTTCGCCTGGCTGAGCAGTTATTGGCTGTCTTCTGCTTTCTCTGGCCAACTGGGATGGCACTTGGCTTCGGCACCCAGAGGAAGGTCCAACCAGGACTGGTTATTGTTGTCTGTGAGAAGCTCCTGCCCCAGGGCATAGGGCCTCATCCTGGGCCCAAGAGGAACAGTGGCACAGCAGACACAAGGGCAGGCTTGGAGGAGGCCCCACCCCTGCCAGTGTCACTGCACCCCCCTGCCCTGGAAAGACTGACCCTGGGGTGGGGGAGGCATTGAATGACAAGTGTTGGCAAGTTGCCCCTCCGGCCAGACCCTCACCCCAGGAGCCCCCATGATCCGTGCCCTCTACCACTGCCTCCTGTCAGTGCTGGAGTGTGTGCCCTGAGCAGCCAGCTGGGCCCCAGCTATGGGGGATTCTAAGACAAAAGCTCAACCACCCCTCTAGCACCACTGGCTGGCCAATTTAGGGGCAGAGACCCCCAGAGAACTACCCTTTGAGGTTCAGGCTGAAAGTTTACAGGAGTCCTCTTCGCATGAGGGCTTGGCTGCTTTCTGGAAGGAATAGCTGCCTCACTCAGGTGGCAGGACCTTGAAGGGAGGCCATCGTCTACAGGGTCTCATGCGGTGAACGAGGAAGAGAAGGGGGCTCTGCAGGGCAAGGGTGAGGGTGAGGTTCCTCAAGGAGCAGGTTCATTCAGACGAGGAAGGGCTCGCAGGCTTGCCAGCAGCCAGGGGCTGGTCCCGGGTGACAGCTGGATGACATTCTTTACACTGTCAGGAGTGAGGCTGAGACCATGAATCTGTTCCAATTCTTTATTTTTAAATCCCTCAGCTGGTTAAAGACATTGAAGGAGAGATGTGACAGTCACTTGCAATTTGTCCCAGATGGGCCTTTACTTAGGTCCAGAAAGAGGCTCAGGGGACTGGGCTGGGGTCACTGACTGGCCCCAGGGCCCTTTGCCAGGCCTTTGTGGAAGCTGAACTTAGGTCCAGAAAGAGGCTCAGGGGACTGGGCTGAGGTCACTGGCTGGCCCCAGGGCCCTTCGCCAGGCCTTTGTGGAAGCTGAGTGAGCAAGGGGATCCCGTTCATGGGACTCACAAATGTTCCCAATCGACCCTGAGCCCAGAGGGACTGTGGGACCAGCGTCCCTTGGGAAGGAGCTGGGATGCTGCGCTGCGGTCAGTTCTCTAAGGCAGGTCCTGGGGGCCCAGGCCCTTATTTTCTGGGCTCGTTGGCTATAGTGGAGACTCAGCATCCGGACCCAGGCCCTGTGTCTGAGGGACCCCTCTGCTGTACGAAGCGGAGCCCACCCCAACTCAGGAAGGGGGCCATCATCTCAGGTGCTGGCGTTCTCTGCTCCCAGCCATCTGCCCTGGCTTTGCATGCCAGCCAGGGACCCCGGAGTCCTCCGTTTCTGGGCAGCTGCTGCAAGGGCAGAGTACCAAGTGAGCAAGGGAAGCATGAGCCTGCTTGTGTTTACTTACTCATTTGGAATGAACAATGTGATGAAAACATATGAAACTGTTCATTACAGGTGAGTAAGTAGGTCCAAGTAAGCCCGTGCTTACCTTGCTTGTTGGGTAATCTAACACTGAGCAGAGGCACCGGTGGTTTTATCAGGGCTAGGGAGTGGTTTCGGATATTGGTCCTGGCTGGGGAGCCCCCAACCTGGGTCTCTGGCCCTGCTGGCAGCCACATGACTGACTCACCTGTTATTCTTCTAGAGCCATCGTTCTATTCCAGCCAGCCTGAGGTGCTTGCAGATCAGAACCGTGACACACAGCAAAGGATAGCCTGAGCCTTGGAGAGGGATTCGAACCAGGGCAGAGCCAGTCCCAAAGGCAGCTCAGACTCGTGGGGCCCACGCTGGGGCGACGGTTGACACTTGGTCCAGAGCTACAGAACCCAGGGTTTAGGTGCCCTTTCTTTGAGGGCTTCCCAATATCCCACCCACCTCACCAGTCCCATTTCTCAGCACCCAGCAGCACTGGCTCAGAGCAGGTCCCGGGTGAATCCAACTGTCAGTCACATAGGGCAGCTGAGCAGGTGGATGTCACATGACTTCAGAGTTCCTAAGTCCAATGCTTCCAATCCTTCCTTCTAAGGAGACTCATTGGCCAAAATTCTGCACCCTTGCCTTTAAACTGCCCCTCAGTTTTCTGACAGAACATTCCCCTCTCTCTAACCATCAATCCAACACTGAGCCTTCGCCCTCAGGTGCTTGGTGTTCAGGCCAGAGCATGCTCAGGGTAACTGAAAGCCGTGGCTTCCCCCAGATGGATTTCTGAGGGGGTTCAGGGAGAAGGTGCTCCTGGAGGTGACCATCTGGGAGCATGGTGCTCACATCCTGCAAAGTGCCGAGGCACACGGAGCAGATGGCAAGGGCTTCAAAAGCAGAAGAGTCACCTTGAAAGACAGTGGAGCAAAGCAAAGGTAAGAGGCTTTGGGACCCTTTGATAACAAAGCAGCCGAAAAGACAAAAGCTTTTTGTCAGACTGGCGCCAAAGTCAATAGAACAGAGATGACTCGGCTGTAACTGACATCGAGGGCAAGCGAGCCTCCTGTCTTCTTGTCCAGAAATAAATGACAAACGGTGAGGCTTCTCCGGCTTCCTGAGAGCTGGACTCTTCTCCCCACTTTTGACAGCGGGAGCATTTACTTCTCTCCAGCCAGGCAGTTCATGCATAATCTCCCTCATTCACACCTTCCAACAGCTGCAGACTATCCAATGGACCTGACAGAGTCAGTTCCCAGGAGCCTCTGGGCCTGGCAGAGTGCCTGTTCTCCTGCCTGCTGGCCTTGGGGGTGCCACTGGGCATGTCTGCCTCCCTGTGAGCAGGACCCCACCACAGCCAGAGGCAGGTGAGTTAGGGATGCTTTGTTGTGCGGCTTGCTTGTTCCAGTGCTGGGCTTTATGCCTCTTGCACACTGGCAGATGGACAAACTGAAGCACACTAAGGTCCAATGCCTTGCCCCCCAGGCCCTCGAGCCAGGATTCACCGCTTCTGAGCAGGGAGCGTCCCTGGCAGTGACTTGTCCTCTGAGACAGAACATTCTAATCCTTCAAGGCCCAGCAAAGGTCAGCACGGGTTTCTGGGCTCCCAGGGGAGGGTGGTGGTGCTGCTTCCGCCAGCGCCTCGCTCGCTCAGCCATCTCTTCGTGGCCTGGGCCTCAGCTGCTTGCGGAAGGGCTCAAGCCTCAGAAAGCTGTGCTCGGGGCTTTGAAGCTGACAGCTGGCTGCCTGTGGAAATGCAGTGCTATTTCAGGGTTTCGTTTTAAAGAGGTTTCAAAGGAGAAGCTCGAGGCGCAGCTAAATTGCTCATTAGGGCTCCTCTCCCAGCTGCTGCTCGACTGCGAGCCCAATGCTGCAGCTGGGTCTTTCGAGCCACCCGCAGGCAGGTGACTGCTTCATGAGCTCACCTGGGGGCCGGCAGCGCTCTGTAAGTTTGCTCCCCAAACGCCGGCAGCACAGGCTGTGTGCGTCTGAAATGATCCTCCGGGGAGTCTGTCAGGGGACTGACTCAGGACGGGCGGATGGGGGGGGGGGGCACACACACTTGTACACAACTGCCCCTAAGGAACTGGGTGATGGTGATCACTGAACCCTCAAAGGAAAATAGACGTGCCCCCCCCCCTCCTCCCCAGGCTGTCAAATGTAGAGCAGCTTTCTCTCCCAGGGGCTTGTCACTTCTCTGGGCCTGGGTGTGGCCCGGAGCCAGGTATGTGCCATGAGCTGCTTGCTCGCTGCAGTCTGCTGCACAAATGCAAATCCCTGTGGCAGAGGCCACCTTTCTGGGCCAGGCCCATCCCTCTGATAGTGCCTCATGCCCTGAAGGTTCGGCCATCTTCCCAGTTCAACCTCTCACTGGGGGGTGCGAGTGGGATGTTAAGTCCCTAGGGCCGAGTCCCTATTCGTTTCTCTTTGCATTTTCACACCTGACACACTGACAGAGACGGGCAGCAGGCTGAAGATGTTTGGGAAGGAAGGTGCAGTCTAGTCACGGGAGGAAGGGTTTTATGTACCGACTGTCACGGGAAGGGACCAGGGGAGGCAGAATGGAAGGAGATTCCAGTGTCGGGAAATGACTCTGGATGGACCTTGCCAAGGGGAATACGGTGGCTTCAGCGATAGAGGGGACAGAGTGAGCGAGCCTGTGTGACAGCCTGCCCAGGTGGCCTCTCCTGCCGTGTCTGTGTGGCATCCACTCAGGGCAGTAGCGCACGTCCCCTCCATGGCAAGTGTGTGGAAACTGCCCAAGGCAAGTTTCCATCCCAGAGGCAGAGCCACTAGTCCACCCTACCACCCCCACCAGACACAAAGGGCGAGCTCATTTGCAGAAACCTTTCCTCCTGGTGCTGGTTCACCACCTCCAGCCACACCTACGTGAGAGGTTTGAAAGGAATGTGCTTCTGGGGCGAGGTCGAGCACACGTTTTTCCCCAGCCTTCTATTTATAGCAGGGAGCCATTGTTTCAGTGGGAACACACCACTAATTTTCGTGGCAGCGGATGGCTCACTCTCCTGACAGGATGGGCTCACCCTGAGCACTGGGAGGTGGCGTCAGGCCTGCTGGGAGGAGAGGTCACGCTGCCTGGGCAACGAGCAGCGAGGCACTGAAGTGGGGCCCTCAGGGAAAGCCCCCTTTCGTTTTGGTTGGGTTCTAGAAGCTGTGGTGGCTTTGATCGGCCAGGACAATCCCTTTGAATCCGGGGAGCTCAATGTAACTGGGAGTGACATTCGCAATCTTGACGACAGAATTACGGGATGGGAAGGCAGCCATGCCAATGAAACCACTAGTCCAGCGAGAAAAGCAAGGCATCACACCACCAAAGCCCCGCAGAAAGAATCGTTCTATTCAGTAAACAGTTTGGTCCAGACACACTGCCTCCTGTAAGACACCCCTTTCCCCAGGTCTGTGTGTCGAGCCACTGCTGCTGGAAGGCCCTTTTCATCTTTAAGATGTGTCACTAGCTCATCTAACCTATTTCTGGAAATCTGAGAGGGCCAATTGAAGCTGCCTTCGCACTTCACCCTGCACTCAAAAGAGACCAATTACCAGTTCCTCCTCTGAGTCCACATGCCCAACTGCTGAGCAGAGGACCCCGGAGAAGCGCAGGGCGTGGCAGCTTCATCCAGAGCTCGCAGACACGGGCTTCAGAACTCTTCGCTGTGGGTCTCTCTGAGGGGACATTCCTTTATGGCTGCACACAGGGGGGGGGGTCTTGGGAAACAAAGTTCCTGATGAGGCTAGGGGACTTGTGACAGATTTAGAGCACAGTCCCTCTTACAGCGGAGAGCTACTGCATCTGGCACCCCGAGTTGGGCAGCAACTCCTGCAAATGTGAGGTGACTGCTTTCGTCAGATAGGTCATGGTCCCATAGGCCCCGCTGGGTGCGCTGTCGTAAAATAAGTGGCAGATCCCTGTGGCTTGGTCTTTCTCCAGGGTGTCCAGGCCACAAGTGGCCATCTGCAGCAGGAAGGAGGAAAGGGACCAATGAGCAGGGGCTGGCCGCCTCTCTGTGAGGAGGGAACTGTGGGGACAGGGTGGGGACTTGGCCAGGGGCCCGGATGGAGCTTGTGGGGCTGTTTGGAGTAAAAGCTCCTTGGCAACTGGCCTAGGCGTCTCCCCAAGTTCTGAGAGAGTGTTCCTAAGGGGCCACCATGCTTGCACTAACTCGGATGATGTTTCCTGCTGCCCCTTTCCTATTGGATGCCCAGCCTCCCCACAGGCTCCCCTCAGGACACCCACCTGGTCCTGCATGAACAGCTGGTTGGCCATCTGCACGATGTGGTCCACATGGATTATGCCCCCGAGGCTGGTCATCTCTGTGTCCGAGAGCATCGTCAGCACCAGGATCGCTTCTACCAGCAGCTGCCGATACTCAGGCTGGGGCACTCGATTCAGCACCGACTCTACGTGCACTGCGAACTTGATCTCATGCGGGGTCATCTGGCAAAGCAACCAGCAACAGCCAGGAGTGAGGCACAGGGGACCCTGCTCTGTGCCCCACACAAGCCACCTCACTGAGTAAGTCTGCGGCCCCCCCCCCCAATGTGCTTATGGGACTCCATGGAGCAAATCCCTGCCCTGGGGGCATGGTCCCCATATGGGCAACGGGATCAGGGACCATGCCTCACTCTCCTTCATGCTTCCCTGTGGCATGCTCCTTTGGGCAGAGTGAAAATACAACCATCTGTTTTGAAAAGACTGACTCCCGAGTCAATAAGTCAAGGCAGGCAGCTGTATGCAGCTAACGAGATGGGGCCAGGGGAGGCCTGTATGCTATGGGGAGTCCCTCAGTTCTCTAGGTGGGTCTCTAAGGGGTCTGTGCCTAGTGGGACAAATCTTAGGTTCTTAGCACCAAGAAATGGGCAGAGCGCAAGGGTGAAAGGGCTCATCCCAGACCTGCAGACCACCATCCGGAGCCCGAGTTATATGCACCCACGGTAAAGTGAGGCGGAGCCAGCATTTGACAATTTGTCATTGTACCTCTTGTGTTGCTGAGGAGGGGAGGACGTAGCCATCGATGGAGAGCCCGTGGCACTGCAGGCAGAACACACAGAGCACTTCTGTCACATACCAGAACGTGACCAGTAATTGCACGTGTGCGTGCGCATGCACACGTGTACACGCGTGCACACACCTCCAGTCGTTCTGCCAGAAAACCTGCATGAGGGCTGGAACACACCAGACTGCCTGTTATTTTTAGACAGCTTGTTCTCACTGCCCACAGGCTGTGTTGTCGATGGAACAATTCTGGAGAAACCAGCAGGGGTCTTTCCGAGCTCGCATGACCAATGCCCTCAGGAGCTGCTGCGTCCTCTTGTGTGGCGCCTCAGTCACTTGGCATTGAACTTGGCAACCAGGCCTGGCGGCTGAGAGGCCCCCCTTTGGCGCCATAATAAAGGGTGGCTTTCACGACTCCTGCTGGTTGAAGTGAGGCTCTGTGCCTTTGCAGGCGTCTATTTTGGAGATTTCTATAATAAGCACCAATCACAAAGGACTGCGGCACGTGCACAGACGCACACACACGCCCGCTCGTGGGTATAAATATCAAGCTGCACAAGGAGGGAGGCAGCCTCTTCACAATAAGAGTTTCTTGGTGGGGAGCCAGGGGCAGCCCAGGGGAAGCGGGTGGTGCCCCAGGATGAATGGGGAGATTTTCAAGGAACAGCTTATGGGGGTCTAATTGGTTTGGCCCTGAATCAAGGCCCTGGCCCAGCAGGGCCACTGCCTTTGTCCCCAGAGCGGTTGAGGACACAGTGGTAATGTTGTCGTTTTGCATGCAGGCTGTCATTGGCTCCTGAGCAGCAGCAGAGACTGAGAACCGGAGGCAGGTGGCCTGTGAGGCTACCCTTAGAGCCCAGGCCAGCAGAGGCCCAGGGCCTGGCTCAGAGACCGCACAGATTAGGAGACGGTAAAGCCCATGTGGCTTCAGGAAGGGGGTGCAGGCAGCCTGCATTTGGGGTTGCTTTTCCCTCGTGCCAGAACCACGAGCCGTTTTGGTGTGGGTCCTGGAAGCCGCAGTGAGTCTGGGGCTCGAAGAACAAGGGCACTGTTTTGCCACCCTACTTGTTCCATCATGGCGCCTGGGGCTGTGTCCCCAACACGGGTTTCTGCTGGTACTTGCACCCACCCCCCAGGCAGTTGGGAAAGTGTGTGGGGGGAGGGTGGGGGGAGGGCACTCAGGGTGGACGGGAAGATTCCATCAGTACTTTCTCTCCGCACTTTGTAGAAACAGTGGTTCTCAACCTTCATAATGCTGCAACCCTTCAGTACAGTTCCTCATGTTGTGGTGACCCACCCAACCATAAAATAAATTTCATTGCTACTTCATCACTGTAATTTTGCTAGTTATGAATTGGGTGACCCCTGTGAAAGGGCTGTTTGACCCCCAAAGGGATTGTGACCCACAGGTTGAGAACTGCTGCTCTAGACAGGAGCCTGTTGGGTGGGCTTGACAATGAAATGCGCCAAAGGCAGGGCACTGGCCGGTTCCCAGGCCAAGAGGACATGCCAGACCTGGCTGTCACAGGGTTTTCATGCCTTCCCGTCTGGTACATCTCATGACTTTCCTATATTCCCCCACCCCCTGCACTGCCCCCTTGTCCCATTCACTGCGCTTTCAGGAGTACTGGGTCTCTCTTCAGCTGAGCCATAGGGTCTCCATGGGGGCCATGTCTGGAGACTTTTTATCTAAGTGGGGGGTGGGGTGCTACTGGCATCTGGTGAGTAGAGGTCAGAGAGGTTGAACATCCCACAAGACACAGAGCTGCCGGACCCTGAACTCTGGTAAGAGACTGGTATTGCACCCCGAAAAGGAGTGACCTGTGCACCTTGGAAGCATGTGCTTTCCAGCAGCGACGCCCTGAGTACATGGATGTGTGGGGACCAAGCTCACCTTCTGGAGGAAAGTCCACACCTTTTGGTAGAAGCCCACGGGGACTCTGTTAATAGCGCCATCCAGCCGCCGCCTGCGCAGCCACTGGCCCTGCCGCTCCCCCCAGCCAATGTGATGCCCTCCTGAGTCCGTCGATGAAGTGCCCGTGGGTGAGGAGGGGGTGCTGGATCTCTGCAAGACAAGACAGCAAGTGGCCCTCAAACTGTCCCCGTGCCGGGGGCCACCGGCAGGCACTCGTCGAACGCTCTGCACCAAGGAGAGCTGCTCTGAGAGGGGGCAGCACCCGGACTCGGCCTGGCCCATTTCTGTTTGACCTCTTTCCTTAACTGGGGTGCTAACATGCCCCTTCCACACACTCCACTCAGCCCCCAGAGACCCCGCCAGCACAGGGAGGGAGTGGACATGGTGGGGCCAGGCACTGGATGGAGATGGTCCGAGGGCCAACCTTGACCCCATCTGTTAAGCCCCTGCTGGGCTGCTTCATTGGGGCTTGGTCTCATCTGAGTAGGGGCCTCAGGAGGGCGTTTGGTAGCTCGCATGCTGTGAACATCCACTGGGGGAGATCTCTATGCTCTGGGAGCGTGCTGGCTGGTGTTGAGGGCTCAGTAAGGGGCAGCTGATATGAGCAGGCCAGCTAAAGGCTCGGTGCCTGGAACCCCACGGCCTGGGACATGGGGCCCCTGCGCTGTGATGGGAGAGCAGCCAGCTGGATGCTAGCTGAGCCCTGATCTTCTGAGACCCCCAAACTGCCTAGGGGAAGACAGCTCTAGAGGCAACTGGAAAGGTTCGAGGATTGGGGGCTGGAGGCCTGGCTTCCCTGCCCACCCTCACTGCCATCAAGCTGCTGTCACACCCTGGACAGGGAAGGGAATGTCTCCATGTGGCAACCTCAAAGGTACAGGTGGGAAAAGGGAGCCCCATCTTCCAACACCCTGGAGGGCCGGGGACAGGTTCGTCTTCGTATACTCATTTCTCTTTGTTGGGATCTTATTTTGAAAGGGTCCTAGAGGAAGAGTCAGACTGGCCTCTGGGACCAGGGGCCTCCACCACCAAGGCCATCCTGAAGGCCACCTCCTAGACATAGAGTGGGGAAATCAATCAGCACTGTGGTTCCATGCAAGGCAAAGGAAGCCAGCCCAGGTTCCAGAAGCGTTCAGGACTTGGTAGGGAGAGCACTCCTCCAGAGCCTGCCGAGAGGCGGCAGAAGCAGAGAATTGAGACTTGGCTCCTAACAGAAAAGAAAGCTCAGTTCAGGAATCTCCCAACCTGCTAGATGCTTCTGAAAATTACAGGTTGGGGAAGGTGTCAACATCAAAAGAAAACACATAATCTCTGCTCACATCTTGGGAAGTGAACGATGGGGCGGGAGGAAGTGAAAGGCAGTAAGAGGTCCCAGACCCTACGGACAATGAGGCAGTGACGGGCTTCCCGACATTGTTTACTGCACACTTAGAGGCTTGTGCGCTGTTCGGCATAGCCTGGCCCACAGACAAGAACTAGAAAACAAAACGAGTCCGCTCAGTCAGGGACAAGAACACTAGAGGGAGGCAGAGGGAGGGGGGAGCAGCAGCAGCCAAAGTCCCCCAAGAGAGGAGCTGTTCTTACTGGCACCACAGGCAAACTCCCTGCCCCCGTAAGAGAACCTGGCAGGAGGTCTCCCTTCTAATGTCCAACGACAGCAGGATAGAGGGTGTCTCATCAAGTGAGGACACAATTTATTTTCCAAAGCCACACCCTGAGATGGGACTCTTTTCTGTCAAGGGCTGTGAAAATCTACAGCAAGCAACCCAACATCCCTAACAGGCCTAGCACGACAATTCGTACCACGAACAACTGAGAGATCGGGCTGCTGCCTGCTGGCCAACGAGCAGCTCATCTAAGAATCCAGATTCCCTTCCCTACCAAAGGAGCACTTGGGTGCACACGTGACATGGAAAATGACATGGAACCGCTTACACTGGGAACAGATCACAGTATAGTTCCTTGATGCACACGGCCCACTACAAACCTTTTTCCGGGCCAATTAAGCCCGTCATGGAAGGAAGGTGCCAAGACAGCATTGAAATGGAGGTGGAAAGAACCGGCCATCTTCCCCACCAGCTAGTCACTCGGATGAGGGTGACCGGAGGGAGGGTGCCACCGAGTGGCCGGCAAAGGCACAGGTTTCTGAAAATAGGTTTCTGGCTTGGGAAGAGGAGAAATTGAAATGGAGATCAGGTAACGTTTCCCTCACAACAACGCATAGAGGCCATGTGGATATATTCTGGTCCCCAATGGTTGTTTGGGGATGGAGCCGTTAACCTGGAGAAAGGGGACCACAAATTTCCGGAGGGAGGGAGGATGCAGGCCACAGGGGTAGTAGGAAAGCCCCACACCTTCCACAGGTTTTTCCCTCTTAGATTGCAATCCCAAGTGACCAGAAAGGCGGGTGTTGTTGAGTGCGGTGGAGATTTTGAGTGACAGTGACTCCATGTGAGGGACGTTCTGCATGGAAATAGCTGAACAGATCTTCCCGTGGGGCCACTGGGTGGGTTTGAACCCCAAACCTTTCAGTTAGCAGTTGAGCTGGGCTCCTTGGGGAGAATAGCAATAGCCTGGTAGTGATGTAATCACTGGTCAGATTTCCCTTTCCTTTATTTCTTTCCTTCTCTTTGAATCGTAGGGGTGAAGGGGCGGTGCCCAGAAAGTGCAAATGGTTACCATGTTCCACTGCTCACTGAATGGTTGAAGGTTCAAGTCTACCCCAAAGTGCCTCAGAAAAAAGGCCTGGCCATCTACTTCTGAAAAACCAGTCTTTTTTTTTTTAACTGATGTTTTGAGCAGGCACTTGAACCCCTCTCTCAAAGTATCCCATTAAGCCAGAGTTTGCTCATTTTTAAGAGTCTGGGGCACAAGGTCTCTTGCTTTTGAGTTCAGCTCCATGCCTGGCCCCAGGGGTCACCTGTCCCAGCACCTCCACCGCAGCCAGCTCCCAGGCAGAGCCACTTCCCCTGCATTCGCACCGCAGCCTCGTCCACATTCAGGAGTACCCATCGCAAAGACTAGACAAGGCACAAAGGATTCACCTGTTCATCAGCACTAAACCGCCTGGTCATCTGCAAATAAGAGCACAGCAGGGAGTCAGCAGGAGCGGGGCATCCCTGCCATGGGGCTCATTGTACGGATGACTCAGCGCAACGCTGCCCATGCTGCACGGTGGGACTCATTCCAGTGGGTCATCACGACCCACTTATGAGAGAAAATGGGAGCATGTTCCTCTCTGCAGGTTCTGGGATGCAGTGCCTGGGCCATTCGGCCCATTCAGTCCAAAGGAACTGAAAATCTGGGGACTGAAGCCCACTCCGAAGCCACCCCTGGATGAGGGCGGGTGAGCAGCGGGCATCATGTGCTATTGCTATTTCTGTGGGAGATGAGTGACTTTTCTAGCAGCTGTGGCCCACTTGAAAGAGCAGTTGAGGACGAGGCTGACCTGGAAAAGGGTGCTTCCTGCCCAGGTGGTGCTGGGGATGAGGGAGTGTGTGGCCTCTACAGGGCATTGCAGGCCCTGGGTTTCTGTCCCTTCCTATGCTGAGCCCAGGGAGGCACACCTTCCCTCCCTGAGCTGTCGTCGCCAGGAGACCTGCGTACCTGTTTCATCTCACTCTTCAGCCTGATGATGCCACTCCTCTCTTGTTTGGTGACACCAGTGTGCCCCACCTCATGGATGGAGATGGCAGGGCTGGATGTGGTGGAGTGGATGGGACGCACTGGAAGGGGGAGAGACACACACAAGGGGTTTTCACAAATGGCAGTTCCTGCCTTGACGGTGGAAATGCAGGCCTGCCTGTGACGAGCTGCCTTTTATTCACGTCCCAACCTCACCCCAACCAACAATCACTTCCCTTAGAGAAGGGGCCTCTGTGGCCCTGGCAACACTGTTTTCAGCACCCCAACCGGGACCTGCTCCACAGCTTGGCTCAACATGGGCCGCTGGGACACAGAGGAGAAGGCACAAAGGGCAAACAGTCCCTTAAGTCACATGCAGAAAAGGCTCAGCAGTCAGCAAAGGTGTGCCTGGAGGACCGTCGTCATCAAAGTGACAACGGCAACTTGAAAGGTTAGACAAGACCCTCGGTGGCAGTGGGTTTACAGTAATGAGAGAGTAACAATGGGGGCAAGGAGGGTGGGGATAGCCACACAAAGGGAAGCACACCATCAGTGTCACGTGGAGAAATGGTGGATGCTCTGCTGTGTCTCCTCAACCAAAAGAAAAGATCTTCTAATACAGTGAACTGGCCAAAAAAGCAGGCAAACACTCACTGGCCATAAAAGCTGTGAATATGCGCTTCAAAAATCATTTCCTTCCTTCTCTCAAAGTGTGTCGTCTTCTTTAATGACCTCACAATCACCTTTTTCTTTTACTGGAGTTTGTTGAGGGAGAAAGAAACACTGGCAGGGGAGTAGAGGGTTGGGCGGCCCTCGGGGGCAGGGCACAGCAATAAAGGGACAGCAGAAGGAGGAGGGGAAGTGTGTGTGGGGTGGGGAAAGACATTCAGGTCTGATCACAATTCTAAGCCTGCTCACACTTGCTACTTCACATAGATTGAACATCTGCAAGGACAAGTAATGCCCACCACCTCCAATCTCACTGTGGAGACCCGTTCTCCCACAGGGGGTCCTACAGGAGGCCACAGGCTCTGTTCACCTTGTTCAAGCACCAGTACTAGCTGATTGCAGCTCATGGAGACCCCCCCATGGCCGTCAGACTACAACTGTGCTCTCTATAGGACAGTAACAGCTAACTTTCCAGGAATAGATTGCCAGGCCTTTCTTCTGAGGCACCTCAGAGTGGACTCAAAGGCCAAGCTTCGGGGAAGTCGCCTAATGTTTAACTCTAGGGACTCCCTTGTTCATGCTGTTGTTACTGTCAAGTTGGTTCCAACTCCGGGTGATGCCACGTCTGCAGAGATCTGCTCCCTGGGGTTCTCAGAAGCAGATTGCCAGGCCTGTCTTCCTAGGTGTCTCTTTGGGGGGGGGGTGTCGAACCACCAACCCTTGAAATACTTGAAGCCATGGCCATTTGCTCCCCCCAGGGACCCTTGTCACAGAGAGATTCTGAGCTTCATACATTCCCTCTCCAAAGCTCTATTACTGTCATAATTGAGGATGGCTTGGGGTGATGCCAGGTGGGGTCATTTGGGCAATCCCTGGGGCCCCCCCATCCCCAGAGTGAGATTGCTTTTACTTACTGCTTCTCTCAACGCCAAACTCTTTGCCACTGAGAATATGGTGCAGGAGACTTTTCATATCAAAAGGACTCAGGTTCATCAAACTCTCAGAGGCTTCTTCTCCTAAAGGCAATGTGTGTTCAGTGTCGAGGACACAGGGTTGGTGACCAATGAGGAGAGAGTTGGGTAACGGGGGGTGGGGGTGGGGGTGGGCTGCTGGGTCTCCTATTCCTTGGTGCTTGTAAACGCTGCTGCTGACACATGGATCCTAAACTAGGTCTTTTCCTCTCGCTTCTGAAAAGAAGCCAAACTCATGGTCACCGAGTCCCTTCTGACTGAGAGAGACCCTCCATCAGGCCTCATCTTTCTCCCAAGAAGCAGCTCATGGGATTGAACTGCCCACCTTGTAGTAAGCAGCCAAACGTGTCACCCATGATGCCACCAGCTCTCTCTTTGGCGCTTGATTGATATGTTTAAATGAGTGGCCCTTCTTCCCCACCCGTCAAAACAAAACAAAAACCAAACTCACTGCTATCCAGTCAATGCTGACTCATCGCGACCCTATAGGATAGAGTAGAACTGCCCCTGTGGGTTTCTGAGACTGGAACCTCATCTCTCTCCCGTGGGACACGTTCTCTGCACTGCAAGGCACTAGCGTGGGAGAAGCTGGTCCAGCAAGAGCACATCCAAAGCTGTGAAGCTCTGGGTTGAGACTACCTGGGTGGGCGACCCATCCTAGCAGTGTACATGCAGGCAAGAGTGGCCCAGCACTGAGGGGTGGCAGGGTGTGCACCTCAGACCTGCCGGACCAAGAGGCAGGCCCAGGTAGTGGTGGAGTGAGCATCCCAGACCTGCTGGACAAAAAGGCTAGCCCAGGTCCCCTGCCTCTCACCTGAGCAGTTCAGGCTCCTTGCCAGCTCTGTAGCCATCACCTGAATGATCAGTCCGATCCGGAGTCGCAGCATCTCCACAAAGAGGCTGGGCTGGGCCCTGACATACATGGCCAGGTAGACCACAATCTCCTAATGCCAGCACAGAGCAGGGACAGCACTTTAGAGCCTGGGCAGGGTGTGCACTAGGCCCTTCAGGTTCTGGGGACAGAAGGAAAAGCCCACCTCTCCTGGCAGCCCCTAACCTGGGTGAGGACGGCGATGCTGATGTCCTGCCCACTGGCTTCATAGATGAGTCTTGTGAGTTCCTCCGGAGGGAGTGGCCTAGGAGGGAGAGGTGGGTCACAGGCATGAGACAGTTTTCCCTTTCCTCTCGAGCAGCTCCCAGGCCAGCTCCCCCCAGACTGTGGCCCGGCCACTTACGCGGAGATGGTCTTCTCTCGGGGTTCGGGGGGCAGGCCCACTGTGAGCTGCTTCTGGTGGGACAGCAAGTCCGTGCAGGCCTATGGATTGGGGGGGGTGGGGAGAGGCAGGGCCGCAAATGCCAGGAGGGTCACTGCCAATAGGACCAGAAAGGTACCTCGACAAACCTTATGACCAATACGGAAAACTCGACACCCCAGACTCAGCCACCCAAGCCAGAGCTGGGTTCCAGTGGCCAGTGTGGCTCTGCAGGGCCCGTGGGTGGGGGCGGGGGAGGAAGATTCACTGTCTCTCTTTAGTACTTACCCAGGAGGGGTGGGTCACCGTGCGGCACTAACACTAAGGGTTAACGACCACCTTCCAGTTCCCAGTGAGTTACACAAGGACTCCAAAATACACGTTCCAGACCTCACTCTCTAGGAGCAGTGGACATTTCCAGAACAGTGTCTGGGTGGGCAGGGGAGAACTAGTGGTCTCTGCGCTGTGGGTGCTCTCAGAGGCGCTCCCACGGCAGTAGGGGGCATCAGACAGGGGCCTGCTTTGCCTGGGGCACGAGTCGGTAAACTGCAGCTCGAGAGCTATATGCGGCTCTTTCGATAATGTACATGTGGCTCTGAAGTCAAACTGAAAAAATAAAACTATCATAGTTTCATTTACAGGATATTCAGATTTAAGAGTGGTTGCATTTGTTTGTAAAAATAGATTTGTGGCGAATAATTTTTTAATTGTTTTATGGACTGGCTCTTCCGTCTCAAAAGTTTGCTGACTCCTGGCCTAGATGCAAACCCAGTTAAGAGGAGAAACGAAGACTAGCAAGAGACAAGGGCCTGGGCTAAACATAAGACCCTGGGACAGCCCTGCCCACCAGCTCTGACCTCTTCCAGGACCTCCACTTTCTTCCTGAGCAGGCCTGAGATGTAGCGAATCAAACCCCACTCTTGGTTCAGGCCGGCTTTGCCATACAGCTCGCTGAGGAGAGTGTGCACCGTGACCCCGTGCTGGCCCGAGAGATTGGTGTCCCAGTTGGCACCCCTGTCAGAAAGTAGAAAACCCCAGAATTATGGTGCTGACAGATCTGGCACGAAGGCTGGGAATAGGTGAGTTATTCAAGCCTGGAGCCTAACCTCAGGGTTGCGTTCTCTGAGGCCCTGCACGATGGGGGAGAACAGAAAGGCAGGGCCTCGGTGTGCTGGGACATCAGGAAGGTGAGAAAGAAGAGTTGAGGCACCATGAGAGTTGTGGACTTACTTGATTATATACAGCATATACAAGATGTCTGCTTGGTCCTGGAGATTGGAGCAATCCTTCAGCTGCTCGACCAGCTTCTCACAGTCCACATCACCCTGGTCGTCACAGGGCCATTGGAATTCGCCTTCAGGAGTCTGGCCGTAGGAAGCCAAAAAAGGGTAGCATGGGGGAGGGCAGAAGGAGTGCGTGGGCTTTCAGAAGATACAGAAGTGAATCCCCACCCTGATCCCTCACTGTGCTTATGAAAATTCGGGGTACCTTTTTATTTGTGTGCTTTAACTACTTTTGATCAGTAAGGCACTTCGTTGGCCATTTGTGAGGGACTGGGTTGAAGAAGTGAAAACGTGGGTGCAAAACTAACCTCTGTGATCGAAAAGCGGTAGCCTTTGGGGGAGGGGGGAGAGGAAGTGGTGGGGACTACACGCCCGGGTGCACGCTTCTTCACAGATACAGATGCTTCACTTGGGCACCATGTGTTAGGGAAAACAATACAAGACACACACACACACACACACACACACACACACACTGTAAGGTGGGTTTAAGAAAACTTAACCAATTGGGGTTAAATTGAAACTTTCTCCAACAGAAACTAGATCTTTCTACTCATGTGAGAGAAAGCATCAGAGTATATAAAGGGAACCAATGGAGAAGTCTCTGCCATGTCATTCTCTTGAGGAAGCTTACACTGTTTGTTTTCCTGATAGAACACTGGGGGAAAAAAACTCCATTCCCACCCCCCCCCGCCAGCGTCCCCACCCAGACAACTTTGCAAGTGGTCCCCCTGGGCGGGCCAGCACAGATCTGGTTCTTGGGCTAGGTGGGGGTTAGTTTATTTCCTCTCGTGCTACACAGGTTCTGAGGGAATGGCAGTCTGTAACCTTTCCCTGGCCCCAAAACATAAAAGTCTGTGCCAAATTCAGTGTGTCCCCAACCAACCCAATCCACTGCCACCTCCATTCTGACCCATAGTGAGCCTGGATAGGGTTTCTGAGGCGGTCAATCTTTACAGAAGCCGATAGCCTCCTCTTTCTCCTGTTGAGAGGCTAGTGGATTTGAACACTAACCTTACTAAGCTTACTCAATAGCACCGCTACACAAACTCAAACCTGATTCCCAAAGACAAACTAGTTGGGTTCTCCTCAAAATCCAGTGAGTGCTTCTAATTCTACCGCAAGAAACACGACCCTTTGAGTTCAACTGTTTTCAAAAGTTCTTAGGACTAGAAGCACCAATATCGAATATCTTACCATTTCTTCTTTTTAAAAGATCATTTTAACGGAGGCTCTTATAGCTTTTATAACAATCATACATCAATATGTATCATGCATATAACAATCATACATTGTAACAATCATACATCTTATAACAATCATACATCTTATAACAATCTTATAACAATCATACATCAATATTTATCACACATATTTGTACCTAGGTTGCCATTATTATTTTCTAAACATTTAGTATATTTAAGCCTTTGGTATCAGCTCCTCTTTTGACCTTCCCTCCCCGCTCCCACCCTTGTGACCCCTTGATAAATGTTAAAATATTCAACTACTTTACCTTCTTGAGCAGTGGCTGAGGAGAGTCAACAAGATTCAGTGATTTACGATGGGCACTCAGAATTCTCGTTGGCAGAGCCATGGGAACAACTGGAAAACAACAGCATCCCGAGGGCCTTTATGAGGAGCGAGTACGGACCCAGAGAGTCAAGCAGGAAGGGGAAGAGCTGGGAGACAGAAGAGGGGCAAGCAAACCCAGGAGTGGGAGAGAACGACTTTTGATCAGGATGCTGAAAGAAGATGCCAGGACGAGTACCCACGCACCAGGCACCGCCCTCACTGGGCCCTCTTCCTGTGAAGCTTCAACAACAACCCTTTAACCTACTGAAACGCCTCGAGAACGTGCTCCGCCAGACACAAAGGAATTGAGAAGGAGGACAAGTAGTTCAGGAAACAGGGAATCCAACGGAGGAGATAAGCAAAAGCAATGTCCAGATGGCCGTACAGAGGAGTCCCTGGATGACAGGTGTGCCCGGGCTAGTGCACTATCACCCTAACAGAAAGAGGCTCTATGAAAAGTCACGGGCCCCCAAGGTTCACTGTGATGACGGACCTTGTGAAATGTTGTATTGTGAAGTCATTGGAAGGTATAGAAAGAAAGCAAAGCAAAGTGAAAAGAAAAGGCAATTATTAATTTCAGAAAGACAGAAAGTAAGGCAACCTTAAAAAACAATGACATATCTGTTTTCACAAGACAGGAAACTGCAGAGGGAAGAAGGGGGGTTGAAAGTGGAAAAAATGTGGTTCGATTTTTTAGTATTATATTCCACAAACAAAAGGGGGGGTGGTAAATATACATACGTATAAATATTAATAAATAAAAACAAAAAAGAGAACACTTTGAAGACCCTCCATTGGTCTGAGTGGATACCAACGGAAGCAAAAAAATACCAAAACAGACCTGAATTCTATTGTAACATACAAGTTCATTTAAAAAACAAAACAAAACAAAAACCAACCCCCCCACAAAACAAAGTAAAACTGGCAATATAATCGGTATACGATAATTCTCAGTGGGAAGTAATATTTCTACATATGTAATAATGCAAAGATGAACACTGATTTAATTACTGAGTGGTAAATCCCTAAAACCAAACCCATTTCCATCGAGTTGATTCTGACTCATAGGGACTCATATAGTACATCTTTATGGAAGCAGATAGTCTCCCCCTTCTCTCTCAGAGCAACTGGTGAGTTTGAATCCCCAACCTTGTGGTTGGCAGTCCAATGTGTACTTGGACAGTGTCATCAGGGCTCCTTAGCTACATTGGTAGGGGCGAGTAGGTGAAGCAGAGGACTGATGTTGTAAAACAACTCAATCCACATCCACAAAACAGGAAGCCAACAGTGAGGGAATAAAACTGATGCATTACCAGGCAGTGGTATAATCCATAATTTTAGGAAAATGGAGATACGTAAATGAAAGAAATAGCTAAAAGTGTTGGAAGTGGCTGCCTCTGTGACTGGTGGCCTGGGGGAGTGGGAAGGGCTGAGGCTGGAAACCTCTGCGTGTGGTCATTTAGGAGCCTTTCACCTTTAAAATTATGTCCATATATTACTGTGATAAACGAAATTCATTTAACAAGCAAAGAAGTGCTAGTGACATACACGGAATTTCCAAACCCTTTGCTTTTGCCATGACGGAAAGTATGTCCCGAGTAGAGTGGACGGCACTGAAAACATGGCGGTCTTCTGTCTTCTTACAAAGAGGGGGCAGATAGCACTTCAGAGACGTGCTTTGTAGCAGGTGGCTGATATACTGGTCAAGTTCATCTTGGCTGTCTGTAATTGGACAGGTGAGACAAAGAGCCAATGAGAAAAAGCCTATGGCTGTGCAGTATGAAAATCAATCAACTGGAAGATGGCCCAAATACTGAGACATCTGCACACTCACACAAATCCCAATAATGTCCTAAGAGATCTACACAGATAATATCTATGCCTGTAAGTTTTCTGTCTGGAAAATCTCCCTCCCAGGAAAGGAGGAGTCAGTGTAGAGTTTACATCGTATCATCTGAAGATGAACTGCCCGGTCCATAAGACGATGTGACTGGTCCTTTTTGGTATGATGAGTGAGCTGAGCATGATGGGACCCCCAACCCCAATCTCAACTAGGATTGAAAAGTAAATATCGGTCCCGCTAACCTAAGAGTTCTGTCTATTTGAGAAATGCACTATGCACAAGGTTCTATCATTAGTATACACAATCAAGTCTAGATAATTCTACATACCATTTCCTTTGAAAAGCCAAGCTGTATATTTCTGGTTCTTTGGTGAAAAGCCCTAGCTCCTAAACCTCTGTCTGTCTAGGTTTAATAAAGCCCTACTTTTGAGGGCCTCGTGTGCAGGTTAGCTTTTAAAATTTACATCGAATTCATTTTAGTAGCAGCCAGGTGCTGAAAGCACCACAAAAAGCACTCGCAGCCATACCTTCATTACAGGTGTTTTCTAAATAGCATCCTACATCAGAATCACTGTTGGGGCTTGAACTGCCGTCGCTGTCATCGTCAAACAACTTTTCATCACAGTCGGGGTCCAGGAAGGTCAGGTACGTAAAGAAAGAAGTGGTAAGAAATTCGGAAAGGCTTCCCAGTTGCACTCTGCCAAGAAACGCATTTCAGAAATGCAGGTGGAGGATGCCCACACTTCTGCTACAAAAATCACTGAGCAGCTTTTCAACACACACTGGGTCGGCACTTCTGCTACAATCAATCAATGCACTAGTGTGAGACTGTAGTGTGCCCCATATAAGTAGTCAAGGAATCAAAATGACAATGCAAGAGAGACCTATAAAGTGGAAACACATACCATATTAAAAGGCCTAAAGGAATCACTAATCTCTTCCTCCCAAAGTTGTCAAGGATTTCATTTCGTGGAAGCAGCGACTTAAGAATTATCAGGTGAAATATTGCACTGGGCAGATCTGCTGCACAAGACCTCTTTAACGTGCTAAAGAGCAAGGAGGTCACTTTGAGGACTAAGGTGTGTCTGACTCAAGCCACGGTATTTTCAATCACCTCAAATGCACGTTGGCTTATGAATAAGAAAGGTCAGGGGAGAATGGATGCATTTGTATGATGGTGCTGGTGAAGAACATTGAAAGTGCCATGGACTGTCAGAGCAACAAAAAATCTGTTTCAGAGGAAGGACGGCCAGAGTGCTTCTTAGAAGGGAAGAGGGCAAGGTAAGAGACCCATTCCAAGTGCTCAGCAAATAGCCGACCGTGTTATTGCTACCATGATGAGAAAGAAACTGATGGAAGAACTCATTTTGAAAAGTTCTCCCGATTCTGATGTCATCTACCAGGTGGGAACTTTTACAAACTGGAGGTCAAGGGCCTGAATATGGGTGGAGCTGGCAGCCAGGTGGCTGGAGAGGGATGGGGCCAGGGAAACCTGGCTTTCAGATGATCTGAAAGCGTAACAGACACCCACTCAACGCTGTTTGAGAGAGGACTCTCTCAACCATTAACAGGAAAAACGGGGCTCAGAAGGTGGAAGACTTGGGGAAAAGTGGTCAAGGTCACTATGGTCATTCCAAATCACCTTGCTCCTCCAAAGTAGCCATCCTCTAGTTTCCGAATCGTCGAGAGAACTGCAGCGTGAATGTCTGAGCCATCGTTTGCTGAAGGAGAGAACAAAAGTGAAGGATTTATTTACTTAATCTGGGACTTTTTTTTTTTTTGTGGTGGCATACATGGAAATGTCTTTCTTAAGACAATCCAACATACTTAGGGCTTAGAAGATTCCCAAGATAAGCAACCCAACTATTAAGGGACGCCCCCTAGTGCACACGGCTCTTCCCAGGGGAGCAGCTGTTGCTACTTTGGAAAGGGCCCAACTCGACACAGGGCCTGACCCAACCAGACGAAAAGGATGAGTTACTGAGCATAGTGTGGGTGATGGGAAAGGTGAGCGTGGGTCGGCCTGTCATCCGCCAGCAGGTGCATAGGTGGGCCAGCTCGATCCGCAGCATCTCCACGATCATCTCATTGTCAAGAGCCAAGTAGAAATGGTGCTGGTCAGTAAACTGAAAGGTAAAACAGGCCAGGTCACGGCCCCCCGTCAAACCCCACCCCCCAGCTCCCTGGCAACTGCACAACTTGTCAGCCCAGGCTGTGGCTCTAATCTGCCTCATCCTGGAGCTGCTGGCCTCGCGAATGGGTGGACGGGAGGTACCCCCGCTTCATTAGCGTGGAAGCAGAGCTGTGGACCCTGATTTATTCTCCGCTCCTTTCTACTGCTGCTGTCCCTGACAGCAAATCAATACCTCCTTAATTCCTCCTCCTGCCAGCCTGCTGGGCTCAGCGAGAAGGCTGCTGGGAGCAGGTGAGCATAGAGACTTTGTTTACCTGATGGATGACCTCATTATTATGGGCTAAAGGTACTGCTGCCTGATAGTGGTGACGATCAAATTGTCCTCTGGGCCTCGGGACTAGTCCATGCTCCGCTTGGGACTGAAATTCATTACTAGGGAAAATAACTAACAAGATTTTGGTGAACAGAATGGGCTAGGATGGAAAAGAACAACTTAGGGCTGCAACTGAAAGAGCCCTGGTAGCATAGTGGGTTATGTATTGGACTGCTAACTGCAAGGTCAGCACTTCTAAACCACCAGCTGCTCTGAGAGAGAAAGATGAGCTTTCTATTGCCGGAAAGTTATCATCTCACAAACCCCAAGGGGCAGTTCTACTCTGTCCTATATTTAGGCTGGCTATGCGTCGGTAGCCACTTGATGGCAGTGTGTGAGTGTGAGCCCTAAGACCCTGCAGCCCACTGTGGACCCAGGGGGGTGGGAGCTACACTCCACACTCCACGGGGACAAAGCCGCCTTCTGGCTGTGCGGATGAAGGAAAAGTATTAGGCATGCATTTCATGGGGAAGGCTCTTGTGTTTTGGAAAACAAAAACTTGGAAGAGGACTTCTAGATGATGTCTAAACTGTGTAGTCCCTCTCTCAGCCAGGGAGCTGGAGTCTGGAGCTCAGGAGGCGTGAAACCGCCGCTGCAAGGCCCGGGGGTGAGTGCTGAGCCCATGCTGGGGCATAAGTGAGGACTCCTGACTAGAAGTAAGGCCCCATGCAGGGCGTGCCAGGAAGCATTTAGCGAGCACCTTCTGTGAGCAGACACTTGTGCTGGGCAATGGATGCCATGGCACATATCTGGCTGAGCTTCAGGCATGCATCATCTCCCACGGTCAAGCACAGGGAGCCGGGGAAAGGGAGGCTTGCTGTTTTGCTCGGGGCCCACGCGTCTCACCTGGGGGGTGAAAGCAAAGACTTGGTTCCTGATCACGTAGAGCTTTGAGGTGCCCAGGACACCGATGTGTCGATATGGCCGCCCGCTCAGCTTCATCGTCTTGTTGCGTCCTATTGGAAAACCAAAGCGAAACTGGAGCTGGAGTAAATACGGCACCAACTCACCCAGGCGACTTGTGTTAAGGCTGGGATTCTTTATCTGTGGGTTGGCCTGGAAGATGGAGTTAAGATAAGAATGCTGAAACAAATGCCAACCGTTTTCTTTTTATGCATGTGTATGAACAGCAGCTGCTTCGACATCTGTATAGAATAAAACTGAGAAAAGGCCTTTGTAAGTATTCACGGTCCATGTACTTAGTACTGAGCCGTAATGGTAGAGGCAGATTTTTTTTTTCAGAACTCAAGAGAACCCCCTCCCGTTTTTAATACGCAAACAGGCATTTTCTGATACTTCAGCTACAAATGATGGATATGGCGAGTGACGGCTCTGCTTGTGGCTTTTCAAGTGGGCGCTCCTTTTTCGAAGCTGAGCTGGTTCTCATCCACCCACCTGCCAACCCCCAAAGGGGCGTGAGAAAAACAGCTTAGGCACCATCTAAACGGCATGCCCACAGGCTGTGT